GTACACTTTAACAGTGGCCAGGTATCCAGGGTCCTGCTGCTGAAACACACATAGGATGAGATATGCAGATGGACGGGGCTGGGACCCCCGCTTAGCTCCAAGCCCACCACACACTTGTACTTCAAACACAGTGTTGGCACCTAAATCCAAACCGTGTTAGCATGACAAAATTTGTTTCATCACAGCTTTATACTGAAGGTCCGTAGGCTTTGAGCACTTTGGTGGCAGTCTGTGACTAAGGGGATATCTACGCAGAATGCGACTCCTTGTCCCCACTGCTGATACTGCCCTGGCCAAGCCACCGTGCAGCCGCTCCTGTGAGCACACTCCAGAGTTCTCCCGAGAGCTCAGAGGCCCCGGCAGGTCTGCTCCTCCTGCTGCCTGTGCCTCCTTCCCTCTCACAGGCTGCTTCTGCCACACAGGTCTCAGCCGCCTCTGCATTCCTGCCATTCCTCCTGCAGGACCTTCCCCTGGGGTGTTAGATGGCTGCTCCCTCCCTCTCATCAGGCCTTTCTTAAATAGGCCCTTGTCAGAGGGATCTTCTCAGACCCTCGTTTAAAACATCAGAGAAGGGGCAGGGGTGCGGGAGGAGGGGGCTCCAGGAGAGGGGGCATTTTGAATAACATGTCTACTCAGGGAAGGGAAACAAAAGAAAACACAAACAAATAGGACTACATCAGACTAAAAAGCTTCTGCACAGCAAACAAAACCATAAACAAAACGAAAAGGCAACCCACCAACTGGGAGAAAATATTTGCAAATCATATATCTGACAAGAGGTTAATTTCCAAGAACTCATACAACTCAACCACAAAAAAATGTACAACCTGACAAAAAATGGGCAGAGGATATGAACAGACACTTTTCCAAAGAAGATATACAGATGACCAACAGGCACATGAACAGATGTTCAACATGGGGACATGGGGGCCAGCCCTGTGGCTGAGTGGTTAAGTGCACAAGCTCTGCTTCGGTGGCCCCAGGTTTCACCGGTTTGGATCTTGGGTGTGGACATGGCACTGCTCATCAGGCCATGCTGAGGCAGCATACCACACAGCACAACCAGAGGCACTCACCACTAGAACATATAACTATGTACTGGGGAGTTTTGGGGAAAAGAAGAAGAAGAAAAAAAAGAAGATCGGCAACAGATGTTAGCTCAGGCACCAATCTTTAAGAAAAAAAAAGATGTGCAACATGACTAGTCATCAGGGAAATGCAAACCAGAACTACAATGAGATACCACCTCAGGCCCATCAGGGAAATGTAAACCAGAACTACAATGAGATATCACCTCAGGCCCATCAGGGAAATGTAAACCAGAACTACAATGAGATATCACCTCAGGCCCATCAGGGAAATGCAAACCAGAACTACAATGAGATACCACCTCAGGCCCATCAGGGAAATGCAAACCAGAACTACAATGAGACATCACCTCAGGCCCATCAGGGAAATGCAAACCAGAACTACAACGAGACATCACCTCAGGCCCATCAGGGAAATGCAAACCAGAATTACAATGAGACATCACCTCAGGCCCATCAGGGAAATGCAAACCAGAACTACAACGAGACATCACCTCAGGCCCATCAGGGAAATGCAAACCAGAACTACAATGAGATATCACCTCAGGCCCATCAGAATGGCTATAATGAACAAGACGAAAAATAACAAGTGTTGGAGAGGATGTGGAGAAAAAGGAATGCCCATATACCACTGGTGGGAATGCAACGTGGTGCAGCTACTATGGAAAACAGCATGGAGATTTCTCAAAAAATTAAAAATAGAAATACTTAAGCAGCCCTGATAGCCTAGTGGTTAAAGTTTGATGTATTCGACTTCAGCAACCCGGGTTTGGTTCCTGGGCATGGACCCATACCACTCGCCTGTCAGTAGCCATGCTGTGACAGTGGTTCACGTTGTCCTTTTAGAAGGACTTACAACTATACAATTATGCACTGGGACTTTGGGGAGGAGGAAATAAAAGGAGAGAGGAAAACTGGCAACAGATGTTAGTTTAGGGCAAATCTCAGCAAAAAAAAAAAAAAGAAAAAGAAAGAAAGAAAGAAAAAGAAAAAACAACCCACAGCTTAAAAAAAAAAAAATTAGAAATATCATACAACCCAGATATCCCACTACTGGGGATTTATCCAAAGAACATGATATCAACAATTCAAAGAGACTTATGCATCCCTATGTTCACTGCAGCGTTATTCACAATAGCCAAGACATGGAAGAAATCCAAGTGCCCATTAATGGATGAATGAATACAGAAGAAGCAATACTACTCAGCCACAAAAAAAGACAAAATTATGCCATTTGTGACAACATGGATGGACCTTGAGGGTATTACGCTAAGCAAAATAAGTCAGACAGAAAAAGACAAATAGCGTATGATTTATTCATATGTGGAAGATAAACACATAGATAAGGAGAACAGATTAGTGGTTACCAGAGGGGAAGGGGGCAGGGGGAGGGTGAAAGGGGTTAAGGGGCACATGTGTGTGGTGATGGATGGAAACTAGACTACTGGTCGTGAACATGATACGGTCTGTACAGAAACTGAAATATAATAATGTACACCTGAAATTTATACAATGTTACAAGCCAATATGACTTCAACAAAATAATAAAGAAGTTAAAAAAATGATACTATGCCATAGGAACTGTTCCAGACCATAAAAATAAAAATTTACAGCTCATCAAAAAAACCTGCAGAGAGGGAGGTCGAGAGTGTGTGTGGGAGAGAAAGTGTAGGCTCCACCTTCTCAGGCCTCTGTGCGTTTGTCCAGGTTCTTCTTTCCCTCAGAAGTACCTTCACTCTGGCTCACTTGAGGAAGGCCTGTCATCCTGAGTTAGAGATTCTGTCCTCTTCCCAAGCGCCCCCGAGCAACCTCACTGTCCCCCTAGAGATGGACAGGTCTGACGGATGAGAGCCGAGCAGGCACTTGTGTCCACGGCTGCGGGACCCCAGCACACCACTGAGCCCCCAGGGCAAGCATGGTGCTTGCTACACATGTATCCTCAGGGCCACACAGGGACTGTTGGGCCTTCAGTGAATGTGGCACCTGATCAAGAAAGGGGAAAACCAAGTGTGTCGCAGACACTCACGAGTGGCAGTGGCAGCGCTTCTACAGCACTGGGTGTCATCTGGCTCTAGGAAAGTACACAAATCATCCTATCATTTTCTGGGCTCCCTGTTTGTGGTTTAGTTTAGTCCAATAAACGGCCATACCTTCTAAATTAAAAGCCATCTCAAATATACTTGAAATAATGGAAAGAAGGCATTTGCCCTCCTCTCAGTCACACGGTACTAGCATAAATATTCAGATGGTTTAGCTGGCAATGAAGTGGAAGTAATCCTTATGCTTATACTGGACTAGAGATCCCAAGAGGGTGGAATGTTACTAAATATGTCCCACAGACCATCTGCAGACTTCAGATGTCAGTGGGTGGCACGCTTTGGCAGAGTCTCTGCAGGTTAAGCCGGCTCAAAGGAACATCTAACGCAATTGTAAATCCAAATTTACGGAGCTTTTCTCTCTCCCCCAAGGATGGGCATTTAAAAGATATGCATCATAAACTGCGGTCTACACTGAACTATACAGCGAACTCCCAACATCTGCTGAATGTGCAGATTCTACCAAGAACAAGAGGAAAGAATGCGGTCCTCCACCAGGTGGCCCACCGGGCCGAGCCGGAGGGCCCACAGCCTCAGCTCAGACTCCCACCCAGCAACATCACCAGCGATGGCCTGCAATGGCTGTTTGCAGAGAGGGAAACCCAGAAACACTAATCTGGTTAATGACCAAGATTTACTGTGCTTCAGGCAATAATTTGAGCAATTTGTGAAATCTCCATACATTTTTAGAGGTTGCAAAAGTTGAAAAAAATAATAAATTAAGTTAAAGGTGTGTTGGCATTTGAAGGGATAAAATTATAAATCTTAGGTTATTTTTTTTGTGTGTGTGACGAAGATTGGCCCTGATCTAACAACGGTTGACAGCTTCCTCTTTTGCTTGAGGAAGATTGTCCCTGAGCTAACATCCATGGCAATCTTCCTCTATTTTATGTGGGATGCCGCCACAGCATAGCTTGATGAGTGGTGCTAAGTCCACACCCAGGATCTGAACCTGTGACCCTGGGCCGCTGAAACAGAGCATACAAACTTAACCACTATACGACCAGGCAAGGCCCAATCTTAGGTAATTTAAAAGTTTACACAGCTTGGCTCTCAAAACTGTAAAGAACTTGAATTTAAATACTAAGATGTGAGATTTTCTATGTATCTAAAGCTATACTACATTCTGCTCTGTGCATTAAAACCAGATACCTGTATTACATAGATAAGAAATAAAGGGTTCATCTTATTTCCTATATCACACTGTAAGGCTCTTATGCATATAAGACAAGGAAAATATCAAAATGCTACTCTCAGTAGAAGACTACTTTTTGTGCCATGCTTTTTGGTTTTTTTTGAGAAAGATTAGCCCCGAGCTAATATCTATGCCCATCTTCCTCTATTTTTATATGTGGATGCCTGCCACAGCATGGCTTGATAAGTGGTGGGTATGTCCGCACCCAGGATCCGAACCAGTGAACCCAGGCTGCAGAGGCAGAGCACGCGAACTTAACTGCTACGCCACCGGGCCGGCCCCAGTATGTCATGTTTTTATTGGAAGGATGTGTGTGCATGTAACCTTTACAAGAGCCTTCCTCTGAGTAAATTATAAAAACTGGGTCTTGAACAGATGAATGAACTGATAGAAACTAAAGTGGCAAGGAGCAGAGACAGACGCATCAAGCGTGGAAATTGCCTCTAGTTCACTAAGTAATGAAATTAGCTATATGAGTATATTTTCCTGTTTATTTACTTGTGAATATACAGTCTATTACAAAACAGACAGAAGGCATCCTCAGCTCAAGCGCGGTGTGAGAGGAACAGCAGGCAAGCGGTGCTGCTGCAGGAGCCCCGCCCGCGGCTGCCGGCCTCTTACCTGGTCCCTGGTCTCTCCAGTGCTGTCCTTGGCCAGACCGGCTGTGCCCGGAGCTTGTCCTGTGGGAGCCTGATCCCTCTCTTCCCCACCTCCCTGTGGGGACACATGATCAGCACGTTAGCAAACTACCAGATGCCTAACCCCAAATGACACGTTATGTTTAAGCAAGGCGGCACTCGGTTGGCAGTTTTCAAACTTCCGGTGTCCTTAAATCACAGGGAAAGCCCATGAAAAATGCAGACTTAGGGGCTGCAGTGCCAGAGGCAGGCTGGGTGGTGGGAGCTGGAGGTCTGCATTTAAACATTTTCCCAGGAGAACCCGTGGGTGATTGGAGGTGTGGACTCAACGATACTGGTCCAGAGCAGCAGCTTTCCATTAGGTTCCCGTCAAAGCAGGGCCCTCAGCAGGAAGCTCTGATCGGGTCTGCCTCCCTGGGGCAGCGGGCCAGACGCTGCTCTGCCCAACAGCTAGAGGCCCGGCCCCACACCACTGGCCACCAGAAGGGCTTCTGACCAATGTGCCCACCACCAGCATTCAGGGCTCTGGGTGAGCAACAGTCCTGGGACTTCGTGAGCCAGATGAAGGTCTTTCTCTCCTCCCACTTCTCCACAAACTTAATTCACAAAATTTCCTTACTTTAAAATTTCCTCTCCTAATCCTAAACCCTGACACCTCCCACCATGTATCTCTACTAGAATTTAACATGAGAAGATCTAAGCACATATTTAAATTTGGACATCCTGATATTTCCTGGTACTCCACAGAGAGAGAGGCCAAGGCTGCCTGGCGCCCTGCAGCAGGCTCAAGGCAGTGCTCGAAGGACACGGGGAGGATCCCACTGCTGGACCAACCCTGTGGCCCCCAAACCCCCAGGCATGGGCACTCTTGCCCAGCTGTGGACAGGGAGGCCGCCGGTGGCGCGCAGGGGTGAGGGTTTCAGGGAGGAGGAGACAGCGAGGCTGGGTGTGTGAGCCGCAGCCCCGCTTGACTGGACATGTGCAGGCGTGCGACTGCTATGGCTACTCCCACACTGTCCGCGGGACCAACCATGGCTCCGCAGCCATCCTCCTCGGGCGGCTGGGTAAGGCCTCTGCCTCCCTATCACCACATTCCTACGCTGGTGGCAGAGGTGCTTTCCTAAAACCATCCTTTTGATCACATCACTTCAAAGTCCATCAAAGCTCCCCATTTGCTGTGGACAAAACAGTCACGACTTGTCAGCCTCCCTCTCATAGTCTAGTCCCTACTCACCTTCCCAGCCTTTCTCCTATTCCTGCTGGATTTACCCAAGTCTCATTACTGACAGTCTTTCAGAAACCAGACTTTTCTGCTGTCGCCTCAGCACCTTCCTTCCTCTGCAATATCCCTTTATCCACTACAAACTCAAACTCCATGAGGCTCTCAAGGCCTTGGTCAGGTGCCACTTTCCGCATCAACATTTCCACGACCTAGCCAGGATCACGGTGGCCCTTTCCTCTGTGGGTCTTGTGTGGGGCGCAGGCCAAGCTCCTATTGTACTGGGACAGTAAAGGCATCTGCACTCATCTTTCAGCTTGCTGCTGGACCGGAACCAGGAGCGCGCGATGCTACCTGGTTCATCTCCAGCATCAAGAGCCTGAGTGGGTGAACTCAGAGCTCAGAGATGGAGGTAAAGAAGCAGTCTCTCAGGGCCACAGCACCTGTGCCTGGCACCCTGAGCAGTTCAGATCACTCAATGTCCTGAGCAGTTGTGGTTCACAGCAGTCAGCTCAGGAACACAAGGGGAGTGGGTAGCTTCCCAAAGCTGCACTGTGCAGCCCATGTGGCTGGAAGAGGCCAAGGTCTGGATACCTGCCATGTCCCTACAGCCCTTCCGACCTCGGAGACATGGGTAGCAAGACTACAGAATGCTGTGCTGGGGGGTCAAGAGGCCTCGGGGCTCTAGTCTGAGTTCTGCCACCAAGAACCTGCTTAATATCGGGGAAGTCACTTGGGCCTAGGTTTTCCTTCTGCAAACCGAGGGAGTGAACCATAGAACCCCAAAACTGTAATTGTGAAGAAAATGATGACCATGAGGACAAAAAGAGGAACTGTTTCTAAATAATGTAAAGTGACTCATCATATCTCTTGAAATAGTTTTCCTTGTTAACTTGGAATAATATGACAGGGTCAGCAAATTCTGCCCATCTATAGGCACCTGCCTTAGAAAGCAGTCAAGTACAGTTTCCTGAAAGGATGGGAAGTGCCTGCACTGCAGCATTAAACTAAAATGCATGGCAAGTGTGAAACCATAGGCCCCCTTCGGGGTTCGGGACAAACTGGGCACACACGCAGTCCTCTTAAGCCTGAGTGCCTGCCCTCCGAAATGCAGAGAAGGGGTTAGGCATTCAGATGCCAGTGACCATGGCTAGCTCACAAGAGCCTGCTTTCCCCCATCCACAAAGTACTGCCACCCCATCACTGCTCTCCCCCCAGTCTCACTGGTGATGGGAATCCTGCAGCACTGTACTTGCAGGGTGGACTTCTGGAGTGACATGCTGCCAAGCAGTTGAGAAACTGCTGTGCATTTATTTTGCAAGGAATAAACTTTTGCTTTGGTCTCTCCAGTTCTGCCTGTCTACATGTGGCTGGAGACAGTTTAAAGGATGGAGCAAGAGGGAGTCTGTTCCTCCTGGGAAATAGGAGAAAGAGCCTTCCTCATGTCTGGAAGTCCCTTTACTTGCCCCAAACGTGCTCCGTCAGTGGATCCACACACGGCTCCTCGTAGGAGCTGGACATGTCCCAAGGCAAACTACTGACCTCAAGACATAAAGCCTCTGGGAGTGAAATCTGCAAGGCTGACACCAAGCAGGCCTCCTTAAGACAGTCTGGTGGGTAGGAAGCTGGGGTGAGTTCTCTTATTCCATCAAGAAAAAAATAGGACTGCTACTGTTACAGGTATAGAGCCTAACCCAATGAGGACGTGAAATAATAGTTAAAATAAGCTCAGTAACAAAATAAGCTAATATATAAGATGTCCAACTTCACTGATAAACAAGGAAGCATCCAGTCAACAAGATATAGTTTTCCATCTATCCAATTAGTGAGAAAACAAATTCTTCAATGCTATCAAAGGTGCCATGAGACAGAAACTCTTATCACGGCTGGAGAAGGGATGAATTGATAAAAGGTTTCTAGGAAACAAGTTGGCAACATTCATCTAAGACCTGATTACATTTTGCTCTATAATTCTGTGAACCATGGTACACAGAAGCATTATGTAGAACAAGGACAAAGGAAGCAGCCTTAGAGCTCCAGGGGACCAGGAAGTAAGCAGGGCACAGGTTGTGGGGGTCTGTAGCCCAGCTCAAGAAGGATCCTCACCCTCCTGACTATGCTGTCAGCTAAGTGCTAAGTGGAGAAACAGGACACAGAATTGCAGAGCACAGTCACAGCCAGATAAAAGCACAGAAAAACTGCAAAGACGCCTTATCCATCAGCATGCGTTACCTTTAGGTGACAGAATTAAAGGTTATTTATATTTCCTTTTTAATTATTTCCTTTATATTCTAATTTTTTCTAATATACTTTTATTGCGAAAAAATAATAAACCCAAACTTTTGTCAAATAAACATACATTACCCAAGCAGCATCTGTACCTCAGGAAATCCTGGAAAGGAGGTTACGCACCCAGAGAAGAGTTCTTAATTATGCACTTCACAAATGAACCCTCTGAAAAATTTTTTCCTAATGGGACCAGAATTTAAACTGCTGGGTGGCGTGCTATCGTTTTAATTTTGTTTTTTTTTTCCAATTTCAATGGGCTCTTCTTGGCATTCTTTACCGATAAGCCGCACGAAACAGTTAGGGACTATCTTGGTGGAAACTGAGTAACTGAGGCCCACCTGAGTGATGTGAACGCCCGTGCTGCCTGCTGACAATGCGTCTGTTCTCCTTCATGCAGGCCTTGCATACCACAGACTTCAGGTTGTGGAATCTGGTGAGCTGAGACCTCTGCAAACAGACCAGAGGGGGCGGAGCAGCGTCAGACACGGGCAGGCACACAGGAGACACAACAGCATAGTGAGAACGGTCTCCAAAGACATGGAGCAGTTCTCCTTTAACACTGGAACCTAACAGGAGGCTCTGAGAAAATGGACATTTTCCTGAATCCCCGGGAAAGCTAACATCAGCACCTACAACTTCTCTTGTCTTCTGTAGGTTAGACAGTCAAATCTAAAAGAGTCTTCAAGTTCTGCTGTGACATCAAGGTCACCACCACACAATCTCACTAAAAAAATCTCTGCCTGTAATTACATTCTATCCTCTGTGCCTTGTTTTAAACTAGAAGGGTGACCTGACAACCACTCTGTACTTGGTCACGACATTAGCTAAAGACAGACCCACGACCACGGATTCACAGGCCGCACCGTGAGTCAGCTCCACGTTCACCTTTCCTCATGTCTACAGAAACAGGCCAGAGCAAGGAACATCTTCCTCGTTACTCTGCTTCTGCTATCTGTACATAACTTTGGCTACTTCTAAATTCCGAACACTTAAATTCCTGTGACACCCTGGATTTTGTGTGTGTGTGTGTGTGTGTGTGAAAGCAATGGCAACAGACGACCAAACGTTTTTTATCTGACATGAAAGCTTAGAGCACTTTATCGAAACAGACAGTAGGCCCTTGGTCTTGCGCGTGCCTGTGGGTATTAAAACACACTCCAAATGAGCTTGGCCGAGGCCTGACTTGGAAATCTTCCAGGAATCGTGTAGCAATCGTACTTATAAAGCCGGAACAGCAGCCAACATCCCCAACTGAACTGTCAACCTTCAGGGAATATTTTCAAGTAATAAATCATCACTATTCCTATTGGATTAGTCTGACGTCTGCAGAAGCAACTCTGCAGGAAAGATTCATTCTTAATTCAAAAAGGGGAAAAGGAGCGAAAACACTTGAAAATTAAAACGTGTTTGACCGGGTGGGACACTGCTTCCCTCCTTCAGCAGACATTCTGGGGTCTCGAACCCACAGAAGTATCATGGCAGAAGCTATGAAATACCTCGACCCTGAAGTCTTATGGCTCCAGTCACGCGTTCCTGGCTCTCCTGAACAACACAAGCCTTTATCAGGAAAGCAGTCGTTTAAACAACGCACCAGCAGTCATAATGTTTTCTGTGTAAACTTCCAAAGCCAGGGAACATGCGCCTCCTCAGATTGGATGTTCCTGGTGAGCACATTTGTTTTCCAAAGTATACTGACCATTAGGATAGACAGCACTGCTGACCTTTCTGACGTCCAGCCAAGGTCTCTGAGTTTTCAGGCCGCCTTTGAGCCTCTGATTTCAAACATTTAAATTGTTGTTGAATGTGAAAAAACACATGAACTCACATTTTGTTCTAGGAGAACCTCCACAGCATATCCTTTTTCAGATAACAGGTACTTCTGATGAAAAAGCTTCCCGTCAAATACGTTCCAGGGCATGAAATCACTCATCCTCCAGGGGAAGCCGCATGCGCTGTTGACCAGCACCAGAGTGGTGAGGCCACGGACCAGGAGTGAGCCAAGCTGCACAGCTCTGGGGTCGACGTAATCAAGCTGCGGAAACCAGACACACACAATGTGAAAATGGAGCTGCACATGTGGAGGAAACAGACACTGTGGTCTCAGGGCTGCATGCTAGACCTGAGTCACAACAGACGCTGGCAAAACCACCACGGCTGTGCTGACCAGCCCAACTTCCTGAGCTCCACTGAACATGAGGGAGGGAGGGAGGGCGGGCCTCGCCAGTGAGGCTGCGTCTTCATTTGCTCACCCACCACTCAAACACCAGACATCTACCCAGGCCTGCTCTGGTTGTACAGACCACCTCTGAGCTGCAGCACAGAAGGGTCCCATCCCCACATCAAAGCTGTGGTCCACTTGAAAACGCTGTGGGATCATTCGCTTCGGGTGTACTCTCCTCTGAAAACTTTCTTTAATAAAAAGCAAAAGCAGAGGAAGAGACGCTAACAGAGTACCATTTTAGACACTGACGCTTTCACTGCATGTTTTAAAATTATACTCAGTTCTAATTATGAGAATTATTAAAAATATTTTAAATGACTACTTAAGAATAAAATGGCTTATTATCTCATAGGGTGGATGGGCTGATAATTTTTACAAATTAAGAAGTTCATACCAACAAAAAACAATTCTTTTTGTCGTCAAATCAACCTCGACGTCAAGCATTCTTACTGCTCTTGGATGGAGACATCGCCCCAACATGCTACAGAGGGGAGTCCTGCATTTGGTGAGAACCCTTACTTTCCAGTCACTCACGTTGCTGGAACTTGTAGCCTTCTTGATCACACACAAGGTGACCTGACACCTAGCAGTGTCCACACGATCGTGCTGGAGAGACAAGCTCAGCTGATTCTGTCCTCTTCTGGTTTATCTATCTATATCTGGTTTATCTCAAATTAAACAGCAGCTATTTTAAATGTCACTTCGTATTTAAAATAGTTTATAAAAGTGGAATAAATCAGGAAAAAAGTGACGGATGTTTTATCCCCTCTATAACTAAGGTTTCACTTCACTGATTAAAAGAAACTTGATCACCATCTGAAAAAATTTATGATGAACTGGGATTACTCCAGAGTTCATCTAAGGGTTAATCAAAGTGTTTGTTGTATAGCTTTTTAAATTGTCCTGAAAACATGCCTTCTTTAGGAAGAGCGACCATGGGACAGGTGCGTGGGCTGAGGTGACCCACTTGGTTAGGAGTCTCTTGCCTCCTTCCCGGGAGCTCCTCTACAGGGACCTCCGGTGAAGCCTCTGCTGGTGGCTGCTGTTCACCACATTATGTACTCCTCATGGTCATTCCTTCATCTTACTGATTTCTAACCGCATCAAGTCCTACACTTGTCTGTCCGTGCACGTTGTCTGTCTAGAACTGCACTGTCCAAGCCGGCAGCCATGTGTGACATCTGAATTTAAATTAAGTAAAATTACATACTCAGTTTCTCAGATGCACTAGCCACATCCCAATGCTCGAGGACCACACGTGACTAAGTGGCCAGCATAATAAGCACAGACGTGAACTGGCCTGTCAAGACAGAGCGCTCTGTTGGACAGCTTTAGCCTAGAATTTCCTCTTTCCTCTACCTCAGGATCCTCCTTTCTGCAAACTCCAACAGGACTTGCCCTCCTCACACTGGCGGCCCGAGGGCTTATCCCGCAGAGGTGTGTTCACAGCCTGCCATGCAGGCTCTGTGAGGGTGAGATGATGGCGCCAGGACCCAGCCCAGTGTACCCCACAGCAATGCTCCTGTCAGAGAGACCAGTGGGCAATCTGTACCAACACAGACGTTGCCTATTTTCTCTGAGTGTTGGGGGCAATTCCCTAATCTGGTAGATTTTTCTGTAATAAAATCAATGTCTGCTCATCTCTTGTGTTCATCCCTTCTCTCCCTGTCCATTTTAAAGTCAATTTTAAATGAAGTATACCATCCTCTAAAGCACAGATCCTATTATGTGAACCACTTGAATTCTCACAAACAAATCATGAAACCAACACCTCGGCTGCAAAGCAAACGCTACCAGCACCACAGGAGCGCCATGCCCCTGTCACACCCAGAACCCTCGAAAGGAAAGCACTAGCAACCTCTCCAACCACAACTGGTTCTGCTTGCTTCTGAGTCTACAGAAATCAATCAGGCAGTATACACACTGTCGTCTCTAGCCGGCTTCCTTTGGTCAACACTGTCTGTGAGGTTTCCCATATTGTGAGAGCAAGTTCCTTCACTCTCTCTGCTCTGCCAGATGCCACGGCATGCCAGGGATCTGACCGGGTGCACAGGGTCTACAAATTAGTTAGGTGGTAGCTGACATCTCTCAGCAGTGTCTTCTCCCAGCCCGTGACGTGGCACATCTCTCCAGTCGGATTCTCTCAGTAACGTTTTGTGGTTGTCCGTGTAGGGACTGTATATAACTTTGTTTTTTCCTATTTCATGTGTTTCCTTTGACATTAGCATAAACTTAAAAAATTGAGGGGGTTATTTTTACTTGTGTAGAATACGTTTGGGTTGTATATCTTGACTTTGTTTCTAGCCCCTGTTAAATATACTTCTAATAGGTGCTCTTAGATTTGGATTTTCCACATACACAATCATGTCTTCTGTCAATAACAACAGTTTTATTTTTTTCATTGAAGTCCTACACCCTGTATTTCTTTCTTCTGACTTCTCTTCTGGCCAGGACTCCACTTAACAGTCATGAAAGAAGAACTCAGATTCACTCCCACTATAGAAAAAGAACTTTCAACACTTCACCACTAAGTGGGATTTCTGCTGCAGATTTTTGTAGACACTTTTTATTAGATGAAGGAAATTCCCTTCTAGTCCTAGTCTACTGAGAGTTTTTACTGTGAAGAGTTACTGATTTAACCAACTATTTCTGCTTCCATTAACAAAATCATATGCTTTTTCTCCCTTATTGTATTAATAAAGTAAATCACGCTTGTTTTCAAAGGTTAAAATCAACTTTGTATTCCAAAAATAAACCCTTGGACATCATGTATTACCAGTTTTTATATATTGCCAGATTCAATTTGCTAATATTTTGTCTGAAAGTTTGGAATTTATTTTCATGAAAAAAAAAGGTCTATAATTTTCATTGCTTATCATAGTGTTTTCCTGTGCTTCTTGATGTCTAGGAGACAGAAGATAATATTTAAAAGAGTTGTGGTTGTAAAATTTTTATTTCCCAGAACATGTTTAAAAATATTTCTCAGCCATGTTTGCCTTGTGTTTTGTTCTTTTAATTATAATGTAAGGTTTTAGAAAATAAACCATGCACTTCCTCCTCAACAAGTCTGTTAAGGAAGAGGATTATACCAAATTGGCTGAAGACATGTGGAAAACAGAATGAAGAAACCTGTAAAATGTTTAGTGAACAAGACCAATTTCCAAATTACTTATAAAACAGAGAAAACTACTAATTTAAGCTAACTTGGGTTACATGGGAAAGCAGAACATTTTCATAGGCTGTCGGATTAAAATCTGAGGCTCTGAGGTTATCTTATCTTTCCAGCAACAGAGACAGTCACAAGTTCTGGAATTCCCAGAAGCGGCATTTAGGGGATGTCCTGGGAGCCCACATAATCAAGGCAAAAGGCTGGCCCTAGATACGGGCTCTGAATCGCCAGTGAACAAGGACCAGTTCCACGTGGCTATAAGGTACGGCCTTACAAACAAAATTCATAAATAAACGAAGCTGTATTTTGGAAATAGGATTTAAGGTGCTTTGTAATAAAGACAAGGAAAAACTGAGTGCTTCCTGCTGAGGTAATGGAGTATCTGATGGGGACACAGAAACTAGAAAAACCAGTTCTAATTTCTCAAAGCCTCACAGTAAATATTTAACAGTAAACAGCTCAACTGTGTGGTGTTTATATGCTAAGGAAGGTTCATTTACTGGGGTTTATTGGCAGTTACGTAAAGTGATACTTCTATGAAACAAAACTACTACTCTTGACACTCTGAAACCCCTAGTCAACCTGACCCAAGTCTCAGATACTGCCTCACCAGGGCAACTGTTCCGTAAGCAGGTGGAAATCCAAGCAGGCAGCGAGCACACTATTAAGCACATCGCTGTTCACTAGTAAACAAATCAACCAAAACAAATGTGAGTTTCTTTGGTCTGAAAGGCCTGGTTAGACTTCAGAGGTTCTACATGGAAGTCCTCCCTTGGTTAGGGGTCTTCTGGCTGCAGTTAGGCACCACTGTACCCAAGAGCCCTCAAGGAGACTGTCCTGAGCCACGACGGGCAGGTGCACGATGAACGGAGGGCTCTGGTCCAGCTCTCCCCATGTCCAGCTGCTACACAGCCTCCCTGAGCCGAGACAGAGGAGTCCAAGGTCCTGTGTGAAAGTTTGTTAGAACGGTTCAAGAGGGGAGAGACCCTTTAAAATAGGGCTGACCGTCTGCTCAGCTGCACTGCGCTTAAGACTATACCCTCAGAGACGTCTCATGTTGTACTAGCTATCTTCCTTGTCCTTTCTCTTGATATCGTTCATTCTGAAAGGAAAACTTTTACTGCTGAAGAACACTGGCTAGCACAGGACCACCTGTGTGAGGCATACTCTGATCGCCAGACTCTCCCTGTCTTCAACAGGGGTACGCACAAAATCTAGAAAATACTTGTGGCTTGAGTCAAACACTAATTTTCCTCTGTAGCCTTGCAGCATCACGAACTTTAACTTCCAAACCTTCCGCCTCTGTCCAGTGCAGCATCCTGTGGTGAAACGAGGTATGTGATGGTGGTTACCAGGCACTGGAACACTATGAAAGTCACCAATAAAAACATCAAGGTCTGCATCAGAGCAACAGTTACCCATTACACGGCTCTTGTTTTCAGCAAGGAAAACAAAAATTCCTTTTCTCTTGTGCACGTTCTTATCCATTTTTATTCCACATCTTTAATCCAGGCAAAAGTAAATTGTGTTGAGATACATTCCTAGAATTTAAATGGACACGTGCAAAGAAGAAAAGGGGAAGAAAGTAAAATGAACTAAATGAGAAACTGGTAAGAGCTGCTTGGAGCAGGACAGGAGCCCC